TAAGACCTTGGAGGAACTTGCGGTTCTGGGAGCATGAATCATTATGACTTCCAATAAAAGCTGATAAAGACAAAGACCAGGCTGAAAAAGAAGGAACTGGCTGGAAGCCAGTTTATCAAAGGGCCACAAAGAGACCATGATAAATACTGCAAGAAGTCAGTCGCCATGCAAGATTTCCCATTCTTGGGGAAACTAAAATATACAAAGAGGTGGAAAAATACATAGCAAGCCAACCCTTCTCTTGGACAGAAAATAAGAACAAACCTGCATTTGCTTTTTTCTGGAGCTCATAGCAATCATTGGAATATGTGGCTTTGAAAGTCAGCTAAAAACTACTTTTTTAGGTTCTTTGCCTCTCATTACGGATCCCAAAATACAAGATACCCTTCCTTAGGTCTGAAACAGGAGCAGACACAGGCTATTGCAAGACACAGGCTGCTGTTATTAGCCCAAGCCAAGTCTGCTTCTTTTTCAGGCCTGTGGAAGGGTACCTTTTGCCTGAAAGCTAGTCTTGAAATCTTTAATTGAACCAACTGCATAGTAGGGAGAGATGTCACCTACAAAAATCCTTTCCTCCGTGATATTTATGTCAATTGATGGGAGCTCGTTTTAAGACCAAATTAGGGGAGGATGATAGCGTAGCTCTTTAAAGAGAATATGTAAGGAGGCAAAATGGGTCACAGGATGGATGATGAAATGACGAGGTTTTTAGTCCTTGGGTTATCAAAGTTGTTCCTACTGGAGGGAAGATATTGCATTAGAAGTTCATGCAGGTATGAAGATAACTTTTTATAAGTTAATGGCAATAAAAAGGAGATAAAAACCTAATTTCGTCTTTTAAGGCAATCTTTAACAATTACAAATTGGGCATTCCTTTCAATCAGCTGGAGCTAGCTCTAGGCAGACCGGGGCCTGGATGAGATGAATCACATGAACCATCCACCTGGTTCACCCCCATGCTCCTATGCCCAATTACCTAGACCCAGACAAAGGAAAGCCCACAATGACCATAAGATGGAAGCACAGTTCAGCATATATAGTAGTAATATCAGAGCAGAAAATGTTACATAGGGTTATTGTTGTTTTCCAAAATACATGCATTATAAACCCCAGAAATTAAGACTTCAGATGATCTGAAAAGACATGCCGTAAACCACGTTAAAGGTAAGGACTGCACTATTAAGGTACTCTACTACCCTTAACTCTGCCCTACAGTGCAATCAGGCAATAACTACAAGATAATGAGGAAGGCATTTCAGTATCAATGGTCCAAGTTAGATGAACGTTTTTTTTAAAGACCATATTGTTTCACATGTCTTCCCCTCCTGTCATCACTACAGGGCAGTTCTGAACAAATGGGCACCTATAACACAATGGGGGAGATCCTCAGCCTCATCCTGACCCCTTTACCAGGGGTACAAGAACTAGAGGTCCTGACTCTGGCTGCAGTGAAATTCCCTTGGTACAAGAATTAAGCAAGACAGCTTTATGGCGGTTCTTCAAAGAGCCTTCTTACAAATCCTGGCATGGGGACTGCTGGAGGTTTAAAATATGGGAAGGATAGGGAACAGTCCAGGATGAGGAGGACTCAAGTCCGTCCCCCTGCCAGCCCTCCCATGCGCTGAGAGAGTTGCGTGCTTTGCCTCAGAGGTGCCACAGCCCTGAATCTCCATCAAGACTTCACCACCAAAACACACCCCATTATTTGGGCGATTCGGTCAGCTGGGGCGATTTTGGGAATGAAGAATGAACTGCCAGAGAGGTGGGGGATACTTAGTGTACTCCAGTAGTGAACTGCACAGCCCAGGGCTGTCCAAGATGACACCCTCGTCCCGAAGCCACCTCCACTCAGTTTTCCTTCCAACCCTGGGTCAACTGCCAACATGCTTGGGTACAGCACAGACCAGCTATTAGACAGAGTAGATGACTTAGGAATAGCCCTGTCTACTCCCAGTCCTGATTTCAGGCTTCTCCCGACCAGAGAACCCAAAAGTGGCCTTAAGGCTCAGAGCATGCAATACTATTCCAAGGCAATGACTCAGTCTAATTGCCAGACTGGTGCGCCTACGCTGGAAGTGGGGTCAGAAGGGAGTTTGTATAGATATGCCCTTAGAAACCCTGTTAGAGCATGGCCTGCAATCAGTATGCAAGACCTTGGTTTGATTGCTGCTCCCAACATACAAAGTTTTGAGTGGATGCTAAGCACACCCTTTGTCAGTCAAGTCAGGCATAGAAAAATCTCAGCAAAATCTGCACAGCAACGTGACTGTCAACTCCTGGCTTACTGCAACCACACAAAGGTTAGAGCTATTGCGTATCTGGTGTTAGATTTGCCTTTGGAGGGATGACACGCTGAATTTCCACATGCCACGAAACAGCAGTTGCCCTATTTCAGTAGCCTTAAGGTTTCCTTCCTCCAGAAGTACTGATTTTTGGGTATGCAGCACGGTAATTTACAGCTTAACTGTAGACAGAGGGAGTAGTATCAGGGAATTAATACCATTTAAGAAAAATCATCAAAATGCATTCAAGTCCATGAGTATTCAGACCAAATATTCACCGGGGTCTTTTTGTGAGCTCTTGCTTTGGTTCCATACATATCTTAAGACTATCAAACCCCAGAAAGCCAGACGACATATTTGCAGATGGCGTCAGCGGGATATAAATGGCATCCTCTTCCTGATGCTATTTATGAGCGCCAAATAAACGGCATGCATTAGAAACCATTTATAAAGGAGACAGTACTGAAATCCTGCTTTAACAAAAGATATCTGAGTGGAGAGGGGAAGAATATCTCTAATTATGGCTTTAGTGGCAAAATAAGCAAAGCACAGCAGATGGGTTAAAACCACCACCACTATTAGATAAAACATAGCCTGAAACATCTAGGAATGGAAGTTCAAGCTGAAAACGAATGCAGAAGGTAAGTCATATAAAAGCCACAAAAATAGCTTAGCTATTCTAGAACTTGCTAACAACTGCAAAGGGAAGATTAGAGAGAAGTTGGTACCTAACGAGGCAAACAGTGTCGTTCCAATCAATGGGACCGCTTGTGAAATTAGGTACTAGTCAACGGGAGTAGGGGCGGCAGAATTTGATACACTGAAGATTACTCATCGTCGGCAACGCTCAAGGCCAACAGAACAACTACGCCAGGATAAAAGAATGATGTAAAGACACAAACAAGAGAAACTAATCATCCCAATTTCCAGAGCTTTTTGACTCATCACTTTGTAAGCGTTTCAGGTTTCCACCACACCAGAAAGGCATTTCAGTTACCAGTAATCCTTCTAACAGAATCACAGTTGTAATAATTTATTAAGAATTTTGCTCCAAATCTTATCAAATGCAATCCAAGAAAGGATTTCTCCCCTCAGTACTGGATCTCCTGAAAAATGCTCGTGTCAGCTGGGGTAGAGTCATGCCAATGAAGCATCCAACACGCACCAGGCAGAGCGCTATGGAAGTGCCGTACAAGACACTAGCAAAGCAAGACCTTGTGAGTAAGCTTTTTCATCAGCATATACTAATGCTGAGGATTAAATGTATGAGTAATGAATGTTTTGGTATTTATCAACACTTCTATTCTATGCAGTGTTTTATTTTGTTTGAACCAATCAAGTCTTATTGACCAGCTCTGTTTAGGTCACTCAAGCTACCTTGTTACATAAAAATGTAGTAGACATACAGTAGAAACAATCGAAGATACAAATTTAGAAGCGATAATTATGGAATGCATACATTTACAATATAATTACACGGTAAAAAGGCATAAAAAGTCACAAAAGATTCGAACTTAAAAAAACCAAACACACATGGCTTTGGGTCATTTGGTTTGTACCCTCACATTCTTTTAAAGAGCAAATTTGCATCTGAAAAGCCCACCTGAAGGTGGTGCAATTGAAAACACAAAACATTTATCAGCAACTTTCTTTCATCAAGGCATAGACACTCCCAAAAGGTTGGCAGAAGCATGGCGAGGTGCATGACAAGGGTCTAAATGACTTGTACAGTATGTAATATAAATCCAGTTTTGCATTCCTTACCTCATAGCCTTTTTACAATATTTCCAGTAAGAGCTGGGGAAACGATGGCCTCAGTGTCTAACGTCATAGGATTCTATAAATACATCGGGACACACACACGTCCTTTGGGATTTTACATTATTACATACGCCACTGTGCTGTGACGCTGTCGGGCTCAAGGGAGATGCCAAACTCATACTCATCTAAAAACTTAGCTCTTAGCTGGGAGAGGAACGGGGCAGGGAGAACAGACTTGACCTTTTATAAAACTCCGATAATACAATTTTGTCAAATGAGTCATATATTCTTTAGTGCACGACCGCTGCAGTTTACTAATTTAAGGAGTTTGGGCAAGTTGTTACAGGGGATGGGTCTCTTCCTTAATCTTACCACTACACTCATGTGTGCTTTGTATGGAAAACTTTATTTGATAATAAAAATAGCATTCACAGACTTTCTCCTTCTTTGTTGCTACATCATATACATTGTGTCTGTTCCAAGGAAAGATGTTCATACTGGGTAAGTCCACAGGTACTTATACTAATGTTATGTATAAACCCAATAAGTCAAATAAAGCTATGAACAATGTCGTATTTATATATGCATAGTGTTTTATAAAAAAAGATTGGCCCACATACTGCTTTTCATCAACACAGAAAAGAGCATTATGTCTATAGCACATTGCAAGAAATGATGATCGAAGAACATAGACTGCATACAAGTGCTTAGTAATACACAAGCAGGCCCCACCATGAAGAAAGAAATCATATTCAAACCAACAAAAGCTTTAGAATTACTTATATAGTTTCCCATTTTAAAACAGCTTTACATACCTGATTCAGTTTACATTAAAATATATCCCCATGAATCAATTTGTTCCATTTTCAGAAATATAAACACGTATCACATTCCTCACAGCTAAATTTTGTCATAAATTCTCTTTTATACAAGAAAAAGGCAACAGTTTTTTTTTTCTCAACAGGTTCTATTAATTACAATTTAAACTGTACACACAATGATTGGCCATCTTCTTTTTCGTTTGTTTTTTTTTTGTTTTTTGTTTTTTTTTTTACAGTACCATGGCAACAACAGTGATAGACTTGCAATGGTTTTGTGTTGGTATGGAAAATGTGAAACAGTATACATGTACACACCAATGCACTGTAAAAAGCAGCAGTTTACTTTAGTGGTCCAACAGTAACGGCAAACATTTTGGCTCAGCTAGGCAGTAATCCATTAAAATCTTATACCAATACTACAGCAGACTTACCACACAACTTGCAAATCTAAAAAACTCAACTTAGCGACTCGCTTTGTTTTCTTGTTCCTGTTTACCCTTTTTTTGGCTGCTGTTTCATAGATTCAAAGTTTTACAGCATAACCAGGACCTACCATCCAGGATTCACAACCAGACGTTTCCATGGATTGCCTCTTTCTGCTCTGAAATGTGTCCTTGACGTGCCTCACTTGTAGCAAGTGCACTCCTTTTGTCTCAAAAAGGATGAACCAGTAAAATAAAACTCGAATCTACAGATAGAGAGAACGGTTTCCAATTTGGCAAAAAAACAAAAGCCCATTGGTTTTGGCTGAGCAGAAGGAATACACCTACTCAGTGAAGGGAGGACTTCTCTCTCGCAAATTCACCGTGCCTTTGTCCCAGTACCCCATTTCCGCTACCCTACTTCAAAGCAAACCGAACAAATCCCATGCATGCTTAGATTTCTGTCCGCAGACTTCTAGTAGTCGAGTAGGGCTGTGGCGGTACTGTCTTAACGAAAAATTAAGTGTTTTTGAGACCAACGAGAGATTGACAGTCTACTTTTGTGTCTTACACAAAGATGGCGGCTACCAGTCTTTTGCCTTCACGCATCCTTTAGAGGGGGCCTGAAAGTATAAACTGTTCATGGAACAAACTAGAAATTCCTTATCATGAATCATCTTGTGCTGTGTGTGGGTTTTTTTTTTTTCTTTTTATAAATATCCTTCATTGAAACAGTAGTCTCTTCAAACAGTTCTTGTTATCTTAGGAACATTTTCTTTTTTTCCCTCCTTAATTCCTTCAGCAGGAGTACGCCATTCCTACCGATACGTCTATTTTTCTTCTTTCCCCCATTCCCGCCCCTTTCAAACAAAATTCTACATACAACTTAGCAGTGAATCACTATTGAACAGTCTGGATCAAATTACTCAAGCTTGGTCATAAAATCTCTTACCTATATTATAACATTGGCTGCCCCCACGTACTCGTGGGGGTGGGGAATTGCTCAATAAAGGAATTTTTTTTTTTCCCCCTCAAGAAATCTACAGAGAATGTAGAAACAAAATTTTATAATCCTTTAGGACCAACATTTGGCAAGTAACTTCAAAAAAATGTATACACTGAAAAATACTTTCTTTAATATTATACATCAGGCACAACACTTTTGTATATATTTCTGTTATAAGGTTTCATCTGCATAAAACGTTTGTTGCTATTCGTAGGACCAGCAGGTGTCAGATTTTTTGTTGCGTAAGAAAACTAGGATACTTCTGGCTTTGCTGCTCTCATCTTAGAAACTTCAGTGTTGTAAAAGGCTGGGATGTGGCTCAGTGCATTGGACGACGCCTCAGATGCTGAGATCAGTGCTGCATTCTTTATACGGTCTCCTCCTCTGCTCGGGGGGGTGTCTTTTGTTAGCATCGTATTTCGAACTGTGCTCTTCCCTCTCTCTGTTGCCGACTCGTTCACCCCTGGTCCTTTTGTCAGGCGACCTCTCCCTCCTCCTGTCGGACGACTTCGCCCTTCGTTCGGGCGAGCTTTCTCTTTTCCGGTCTGGTGATTTCCTTTGATCCGTTAGTCTTTCGAGCGACCGCCTCCGCCGGCTAGGCGACCCGTCCCTCCTGCGAGTCGGCGACCTTTCTCGGCGCCTCTCGGGAGAAAGCTCTCTCCTCCTCTCGTGCCGCTCCCTTCGCTCCAAGGTATTGTCAGCACTCCTTGTCCCTTCCCTCCTCTTTTCAGGAGACCTCCTCTTTTGTCCATTTACCACCATTTTTTCTGGTTGTCGGCCTTGCCTCCTTTCCGGTGACCTGTCCTTTCTCCTGCCTGCGGCGCTAGCGCTGTTTTTAGAAGTTCCGTTCCAAGTGTGGTGCTCATTGGATTGTCTGCTAAACTCTCTGCTGCCTTTTGGGTCTTTAACATAAGTCCGCCTGTCCCCATGTTGTGATGATTTGTGAAGATCTGGTGGATAACTGGACTCCAATGATGGGTGTTGTCGTCGGTCAGATGGCACGGTTTTCACTTCCGATACATTTTGTGAACCTGTGGCTGGACTGTTCCTGTCACTGCTGGGGTCTGAAAAAAGAATAACAGCAAATTGTTTGGTACAAATGCATTCGGTCGGGCTGTGACACCATTTATCATTCCTCAGACTTCATTAGTGACAAAAACAAACATCTGTTAAAGCAGTCAGTAAAAGACTAACTGAAGCTTTTGTTAATTTAAAATGTAAACTGCAAACAATGAGAGTTATAGATTAGTATTGGTGCTTCTCCTCATTAGCTCTATTTTGGTCCAAGTTGCTATCATTGTTATGCTCAGCTCATCACACAGGATTTTATGTTTTCCCCCAAGTCCAATTTGTAATTTTTAAGATTAAAGTAAGTTCTTTCTAGTGAAAACAAAAGGGGGATTGCAGGACTTTTTTTTTTTTTTTTTAAAGATGTAGCTTCCAATAAAAAGGGCCTTTAGGAAGTGATTAGCGCTATCTTTTTGTTCTTTTGAAAGAAATGCCTCCTTAAAAAAAATGTATTTTGTGCGTGAAGCCTCATTTTAAATGACTGTAAAAGGATAGAGTAATATAATTGATTACTATGTTTTGAACCTACAAAATAATATTTTAAAGGTGTGATAATGAGACCATAATCATATAATTTCCATTGCACTGAATGTATTACTTAATCTCATTTAATTTTATTACGTTATGAAATAGTAATGGGATCGGTTTTGGTTTTGCCACGATTCAACCGATGATGATAGAAGTTATGATCTTTTTTTATTAAAGCAATGGAGGGACATTCTCATATGCAGGATAGCTTTGATTAGCACGTAACCTCCTGTTAATGCTTTTCAGTTCTACCAAACAGATCTGAACTACCTGAACAAGACAAACTGTAAAGCAAGGAAACTGTACCGTGGCTAAATTAAAATTACTCGTGCCTTTTGTTTTGGATGCTAGTAAATGATTTATCATAAACATGGGAAAACATTAAAGTAGTCACACTGACTTAAGGTGGGAAGCAGTTTTTCTTTGCAAAAGTAGCTATTGTAAGGCAACTCTACTAATGTTAAATACTAACACTTCCTAGATTCAGTTTGGGGAACACTCACTTTTAGGTAAAGCAGGTTGTCTTGATGACAACGACTGAAAAGCAAAACAAACGACTTAGCCCTCCTAACTTGCAAAACACGTAAATTTTCATTTTTCTTATGTGCAAGCTCTTTTACTAAAACCTCTCTCAATTCAGTTTTTTTTTCCTTCTTTCTTTCTTTCTTTTTTTTTTTTTTTTTTTTTTTTTTTTTTTGTGTGTGTGCGGGCCATTATTTTTGTGATTACAGATGCAAACCACTCTTGCAATTCATGTTGCTTCATTTATTAGCTTTTTAAAAAATCAAGATGATGGAGGACCATAGCTGCAATTGCTTGGTTTCTTGCCACCTGATTATTGCACAAGGTAAAAGCAAGGCTTAAATACATGTTTGGTTGTGTACTTACAATTCAAAGAACGTGGGATGCTCAGAATGAATTGCCGTACATATAAAAATATAGCAAAGCGGAAAGCAATGTGAGGGAATTAGGCCACAGCACAGAAACACCTAATATTGATTTTAGCTACAAACCGTAGTTTGATTATGGCCCATAAGGTAGAAGCAAGGCTCCCCGAGCTTGTCATTTCTCATACATGCAGCGATATTAGGAGGTATCATCGCTGAGGAAGGAAGAGCCCAGCACCAAGAAAAGTAAGAGAAAGAGAAAGAGAAAAGTAGAAAATTTAGATTCCCTAGAATAAAGATGAAAGAAAAAAAATTCTTCATATTTTATCTTAGAATAAAGAAAGTTTATTTTTCCAGTCAGATTGTCTAGGCTTCACCCAAATATAAAGCTGCAAAGACAGCAGTTGTTGTTATAGTGACATAATTAGACATCTAAGAGGTGATTCAATAACCCAGACAACTAAAGCATCCATTTTAAAAGACAACTGGAACAGCGACACAGAATGTCATTGAAAAAACATTAACAATCAAACAACAACGGAAAATAAAGTCCACCGGAGACCACAACATTAAAAATAAGTACAAAACTCATTACAAAAATATACAGCCTCGTAGAGAAGCATGTTCCAATCAAGTCAGAAAAATATTGGAACTGAACATTATTCGAGTAATCGTTCGCAACTGCAGTGAACAGAACTGAAGGAACTATGCCCCAAATGTTACAAGGACGCTCTTTACAGTAGCACGGCCCCTGCGCGTTAAATCCTGGCTTCAATTTTAGTGACTTGATTTATTAGTAGCCAAAAGAAAACGGGTGTTGGATCTTCATCCTCAGTGCAACAGACATATGCTTTGAAACGTGAAGCGCTTAATTTACAGCGTATTTACGATGTCTAGCATATGATACAGTACTGTACATCCAAGGAAGAATCGGAAAAAGACAAAAGTAGAAAGAACATTACATCATTTCAGTGCCATTGTCAAACCTCTGGCGTGCTGTTTATAGTACAGAAGCATAACCCCACCATTTCCCTTCTATAGTACTGAATACCTTGAATGCTAGATTTCAAATTGGCCATTTAGGTTCAATTCTACTTAATGAGCAGATGAGCGGAAACGCTTGAACATGATACAGTAAATAAAAAGGAAAAAAAAAAATCTAGTTAACATATTGTGCAGAATGGCTCGAGTTTATTTTCAGGAAATGGAGTGAAAAGAGGCAGAACGTACTGACACAGCAAGCACCTGAAAAGGGGGAGAAGAGTACAGGCGGCATCTCTGCTAGCATCAGTTTCTACAGAAACTTCAAAGCCCTTTGCTGGGAAGTCAGCCCTGCATCGAGGGCATAGTATGCCATAAATAGCTCAAATAAATAAGACATTATTATAATAATAAATAGAATGCTATACTATGCCGTCCAGCGCGTTGGCTAATCAACTCGAGCCAACAAGTGGGGCAAGGAATTCAAGCGCGAGTCCGAGGAAATGTAAGGTAGCCATGTTTCCTTTAAGACGGGCGCTAGAAACACTGTCTTATAATCTCTCAACCTCCTTACACCTGACAAATTACTGATTTGATACCAGTAGAAACGATAGGAGAGGAGCAGTGGGAATAACGCTGGCAGGCCCAATTCAGGTATTTCTGCATTAATGTTCCTTTCATATATAGTGACATAAATACTAAGGGAAGCCAAAAGCCTGTAAACCATCTCGGCATTCATGCCTCTGGATATAGACAAACTAAAGAAAAAACAAAAACAAAAAAAAACCCTGATGTTTCAAAAAGATGACCCAGGATTTCCATTTTTTTTTTTGCATTAGAGCATTATTTGAGATAACAATTCAACCAGTGAGGATCAGTTTGGCACAGTTCAATAACATTCCTTGTTAGGTTGGACGAGACGATAAGGTTTTTTGTTTTTATTCCCCCCCGCCCGATCACCAAAAAATACTGCTATGATGATCGTGCCTTACACTGCACCCCGAAGTCCATGGAAGCAAGCAAAGGATGGAATGTGGAGAAAACTCGGCATAAGCAAGGCAATTAACTGTATGTTGCAAAGGTTGGTAAGACACTGGTGAGAAAGGAAAATAAAAAGAATCCCCGCTTCAGATCTTGAGACAAATCATTCATGGAGAGATGCCGGGATAGAAAGGAATGTTTTCATAGTTTGACCCACCATATTCTGGTACTGAGCCATCTCCGCGTTTCAGAAAGAGGCGGACCCTACGGCCACCATTTTTAATCAGTTCTATGGCCCGAGCATGCTTCATGTTCTTGGTGGTCTCCCCGTTGATCTCTAAAATTTCATCGCCAATCTGTCAACATGATGAAAGAGGAGAATCAAGGATTAAAACCGGGCCGTGGCACAAGTACATCCCCTCAAGTGTGTCAATTAAAGGAGTGCAGCCTTAGCATAGTACTACATTGGCATTGGAGCTTTTGAGTGTCGCTGGAAAATGCAGACTCTTATAGATTCACAGTGCTGGGAGGGAACTCAAAAGTCATCGGGTCCACTCTTAAAGGCCTCCACTCAAGAGGGGTGTAGACACCCAGGGAGTAGGGCCGTCTTGAACCGAAGGCTTCTGCCTTAGCAGCCCAGCACTCCAGCCACTGGGTTATCACCCAGGGGTTACCTGTATTTGAAGGCCAAACTTTTTGTGAATATTTTCTGGCTGCCTTACAGCTACTCATTGGGAGGGCCAGGGGCCTCTTTTCACTTGGATGCCGAGGCATGATATAAATCTGCAAACCTGGTTTTAGATATTTAACAGCTTATCAAGAAACACAAATAACAGTTACATAGTAGACCCTCTACATACTAATTTCACCTATATTTATCTCAGTGGAAAGTCTGGTCCTGGAGGTCTATCCTTAACCAAGACTCTTTCCAAATTGCAGAACCCCTTGCACTGTGCTCAGAAAGAGAGAGTACTTTGGTCACAAAATTATGGCGACAGATAATGCTGGGGTTGTGCACAGTACATGCAAACCTACAAAAAACATGGGGGACCTTTTCTCTAAGTGTGTAATCATTGTAGTCTCCAATTTACCAAACATATTTTTTGATTAAGCTTAACGTGCTCACTCTCAGTGGAATCAGGTTATGTAGTCCTGTGTCTATATAAGCATATTATCTAGTCCATGTTTATAAATGTAACACAATAACTTATCATACACAAAGGGAAGGTAGAGGTGGAAGGTCAGGTCAAGGGTTGCGTCAATGAAAAATTATGCTATTCTTTGTAACTCTCTGGTGATTGTATCTTACAGATCTCTCTCTCTCTACCCATTGAGTGGAAGATATCACTGCATTGCAGCCCCAACTAGGACCTACTGGTTTTTTACCTCAAGTGTAACAAGTCATGCACTCAGCTCTGGAGGACCCTGACTGTTGGCCATTGCAGTTCCTTGGTGCTTATACCTTACTAAGCCTCTACAGAAATGTGGTTTGTTACAATCTGCATCAAACAAAAGTCTAGCTCCCTCCTGCTATTGTTTAGGGTCGTGTTCGTTGGCTGAGAAATGGGATTGACTATGGAAGGAGGTGGTGTCAAGTCCCAGGAAGTTCCTCTGCTTGAGGCTGAGCAGAGCATCCTTTGTTAACCTCTTCCTCTAAAGGCTTGTATGCAAGTCCCTGCTGACTACAATGGGAGCTAGTTTTAGGACTGTAGGAAACGAATCCCCTTGGCCAAAAGAAAACTTTAAATCCATCCCGATTTTATTCAGAATAAGTCAAAGACCAGCAGAAAAAAAAATTGCAAAGAAACAACTTTCGTCTCAATTCATATGATTTTCAAACTCCTTGTTATACATACCCTCATCTTCCCACATCTCTCTGCTGGACCATCCTCAGCTAACCGCAATACATAGAGATCCATATTATACTCTCGACCACCTCTCAGGCTAAAGCCAAACCCTTTGGCTCCTCTTTCCAACTCAACGGTATAAAAATCCTGGTCCTGCTGCGAGGAAGATAATTTGGACAGAAAGGAACAAGAAGTTGAACTCTGTTCTATTTCCTGCTTGGAAGATATTCGATGTTGGACATTACATTGTTTCAATAAAAAGAAAATTAAAAAAAAAATAAATCAGGATTTGTTGTCACAGAAGGGCATTGCTTTTGAAGCCCCAAACTGAGTGCTTGATTACAGTCTGTGGAAAACAGCTTGGACATCCGGTAATGCCTCTCCCTCCTTGTTAGCAGCTGGTACGCTCCCTTAAAGACAGCTAAAGTGCAGGCAAGACTTCTCTGTGCAGCAGAAGTGATGCTCCTCTCCCATGAGGATGCTCAGCCATCACTAACGGGAGAGGTTATCTCTGCAATTGCCAATGGAAGGGGATGCACCTGTGAGAGAGTCTTTTTAATAAGATGTGGCCTACACGGTGAAAATAAATCACGGCACCCCAAGTGCAGCCCATTCCCTCAGCTCTGATATTTTTTGGTCTTCTGAATCTATCTCTTCCGTGCACAACAATAGCTCCCTCAAAACCCACACTGCAGCAAACAAACACATAAATTATTACTGCCGTACAATATTAGCTGCCGTTGTTTTCAGTCGTGATTGCACCTCTGCAATTGAAGTGTTTGTCATCTGAAACAACATCAGCCCTCATTAAGAAGCTAATCAGTGAGCCTTCTTTTTTCAGCCCGACGGGGTGAGGGAATATAGCCTTGCAATCGGGTTTTCAGAAGGAGACAGCTCCAGCAGCTTGGAGACAAGGCTGCATGGTAAATAAAGCAAATTAGAAAGGCGGCTCTTACCTGTGCTGCTTGGGGTGGTTTGAAATCAAACTGGGACTCCTGCTTTGGTTTTGTGTTGTTCCTGTTGAAATGATCGAGAGAGAAAGAGAGAGAAAACAGACGGCTCGTGGGAAATGGAGATGACTGAGGAGTAACCAAAGAGAGAGCGTATCAAAGAAATGAGCTGACCTGTTCTCCTGTGGTATTTGCTGCGGAGTATGCGTGGTTGTAATGGTAGCAATTTTTTCTGCATTGGTCAATAATGTAGCGTTGGAGGATTCTGTGAAATAAAGCGGATGGCACCATGAGGGAGGCTCTTAATTAGATAATTCATTCAAAGACTAATGCGGGCTCTGCCGAGGCATTTTATTGGGAAGTATCAAATGCATTTGTTAAGAGTGTGCCTTAGAGGGATATGCCGGGTTCATATTTCCTATGCCCAATAATTGAAAAGGGAACTACATAACTAGATAACCATTAAGCATTTATTTAAAAACACACTGCACAACAATTGCCCAGAAACCTTTAAATATATAGGGAGCCTTTAATAAAGAAATGCTGATACTAGAAGGATGGTAAAATGTCTTTTGTCCCATGGCCTTATGTAAAAATACAGCTGTTGAACCAAGACTTGAATTTTCCATGCTATATTCCTCTTTGCCCAGCTTTTTCTTGTGATCGTCATTAGATCTACAGGATAGCTCGTTTCATTTCCACCTTTTTTATCTTAATAAAAATAAAGGGTCCTAGACACTAACCAGTTGGAAAATGTTGTCGCAATATCTGCTGTTTCTGTCGCCCACGCCTTGTCAGTAACAAAGAAAAATTTTGAATGTTGAAGACACCATCTCCAATTCCATTATCATCGAAGAAAGGAACAATAATAAAAAAGCCTGCACCAGAAACACTGCCAGAGCTTGTAAATGTAAACTGCATACAGCAAGACGCTCCATTAATGTAATGAATATTATATTTTATGTAAATTGGATTTCTTCTCCAGTAACCAAATTCATCAGTGTTTTCATCAATCGCAAACAAAAAAAAATCTAAAAACAGCACAAAAAAATTTAAGAATTTGTTTAGGCTGTTTGGGCAAGATGCATTTCCTTTCCACTTGCCCCTCTTTAAGCAAAGGTTGACTCTCCAAAGACGAATAAAGATCTTCCAGTATTTTATTTTGTGATTAACAATATGAATCTCCCACAACAATCTCCAAATTTGGAAGATCACACTGGATCTTTTTTATCGGAGCAAGAGAAAATATCACACCACCAGTGCCTCTCTTCCTCTGAACTTGTAACTTTAGTTACGACTGATATCGAATAAAATCTTGATCCAAGCCTTACTGAAGACGATGGGAGTTCTCTATTGGCTTCCTGTGTCGGACCTGAAAGACTATTGATTTCCTCACTTCTCAAATATCTAACAAACTCCATGTTCCAGCCCTTATTGTTCTTTGCAAAGTATATTGTACATTCAGGGCCAACCACTTCCCCTTTGAATGATATAACTGGCATTAGATATAGACAAAAATAAGTGCTCAGAATTAGTCTGAATCGAGCTCGCCTGGAAGCTAGGGGAGTTAGATCACAGATTTCACTAGCGGTAGAGCTAAGTCAGTGCTGAGTGCTTCTAAAAGTCCTATTCAGAACTAATGACTGGCCTAAGAGCAGATATTGGTTTGAACATCCACTTTGGGGGGGGGGGGG